TGCGAACCCAGTGCAGCATTATGCTATCTTACATCAGGTTCCCAACCAGAGCCCCCCCCAGCATCAAGATCCCCATCAGAATCCCTCTTACATCAGGTTCCCAACCAGAGCCCCCCCCAGCATCAAGATCCCCATCAGAATCCCTCTTACATCAGGTTCCCAACCAGAGCCCCCCCCAGCATCAAGATCCCCATCAGAATCCCTCTTACATCAGGTTCCCAACCAGAGCCCCCCCCCAGCATCAAGATCCCCATCAGAATCCCTCTTACATCAGGTTCCCAACCAGAGCCCCCCCCCAGCATCAAGATCCCCATCAGAATCCCTCTTACATCAGGTTCCCAACCAGAGAGCCCCCCGCCCCCCCCCCCCCCCCCCCCCCCCTTTGCATCAAGATCCCCATCGGAATCCCTCTTACATCAGGTTCCCAACCAGAGCCCCCCCCCCCCTTGCATCAAGATCCCCATCAGAATCCCTCTTACATCAGGTTCCCAACCAGAGCCCCCCCGCCCCCCCCCCCTTGCATCAAGATCCCCATCGGAATCCCTCTTACATCAGGTTCCCAACCAGAGCCCCCCCCCCCCCTTGCATCAAGATCCCCATCAGAATCCCTCTTACATCAGGTTCCCAACCAGAGCCCCCCCCCCCCCCCCCCCCTTGCATCAAGATCCCCATCGGAATCCCTCTTACATCAGGTTCCCAACCAGAGCCCCCCCAGCATCAAGATCCCCATCAGAATCCCTCTTACATCAGGTTCCCAACCAGAGCCCCCCCCCCCCCTTGCATCAATATCCCCATCGGAATCCCTCTTACATTAGGGTACCCATCAGAATCCCCCCTTACATCAGGTTCCCAACCAGAGCCCCCCCAGCATCAAGATCCCCATCAGAATCCCTCTTACATCAGGCTCCCAACCAGAGCCCCCCCCCCCCCCCCCCCCCTTGCATCAAGATCCCCATCGGAATCCCTCTTACATCAGGTTCCCAACCAGAGCCCCCCCAGCATCAAGATCCCCATCGGAATCCCTCTTACATTAGGATACCCATCAGAATCCCCCCTTACATCAGGTTATGAACCAGAGTCCCCCCTTACATTAGGATCTCCAGAAGAGCACCCCTCACATCAGGTTCCCAACCAGAACCCCCCCCTGCATCAAGATCTCCTTTGGAATCCCTCTTCCATTAGGGTACCCATCAGAATCCCCCCTTACATTAGGATATGAACCAGAGTTCCCCCTTACATTAGGATTTTCAGAAGAGCACCCTTTTTATCAGGTTCCAAACCAGAGCCCTCCCTTGCATCAAGATCCCCATCGGAATCCCTCTTACATTAGGGTACCCATCAGAATCCCCTCTTACATCAGGTTCCCAACCAGAGCCCCCCCAGCATCAAGATCCCCATCGGAATCCCTCTTACATTAGGATACCCATCAGAATCCCCCCTTACATCAGGTTATGAACCAGAGTCCCCCCTTACATTAGGATTTTCAGAAGAACACCCTTTACATCAGGTTCCCAAGCAGAGCCCCCCCCCCCCCCCCCCCCTGCATCAAGATCCCCATCGAAATCCCTCTTACATTAGGGTACCCATCAGAATCCCCCCTTACATCAGGTTCCCAACCAGAGCCCCCCCAGCATCAAGATCCCCATCGGAATCCCTCTTACATTAGGATACCCATCAGAATCCCCCCTTACATCAGGTTATGAACCAGAGTCCCCCCTTACATTAGGATTTCCAGAAGAGCACCCTTTACATCAGGTTCCCAACCAGAGCCCCCCCTTGCATCAAGATCCCCATCGGACTCCCTCTTACATTAGGGTACCCATCATAATACCCCCTTACATCAGGTTACCAACCAGAGCCCCCACCTCTTACATTAGGATCCCCAGCAGAGTTTCCCTTACTTCAGGTTCCCTTCCAGAGTCTCCACTTGTATCAGGATCCCCATCGGAATCCCTCTTACATCACGGTACCTATTAGTGTCCCCCTACATCAGGTTACCTACCAGAGTCCCCCCTTGAATTAGCGTACCCATCAGGGTCCCCAGAAAAGTTCTCCTACATCAGGTTACCTTCCAAAGTCCCCCCCTTGCATCAGGATCCCCATCAAAATCCCTCTTGCATCACAGTACCCATCAGAGTCCCCCTACATTAGGATCCCCAGCAAAGTCCCCTTCCCATTGCCCAACGGATAAAATTCAAAACATTAACAATCACATATAAAGCCATTTATAACTCCGCCCCAAATTACATCACTAATCTTGTCTCAAAATATCACCCAAACCGTCCTCTCCGCTCCTCCCACGACCTCCTACTCTCTAGCTCCCTTGTCTCCTCCTCCCATGCTCGTCTCCAGGACTTCTCCAGAGCTTCCCCCATCCTCTGGAACTCTCTACCCCAATTTATCAGACTATCGCCTACTCTGCTCACTTTTAGGCGATCTCTGAAAACCTCTCTCTCCAGGGAAGCCTATCCTGCCCTCAGCTAATAATGGAATCTTCTACTCCTCCTACCAGTCCATACCCCACAGTTACTACTCTTTGTACCACTAGCCCCTCCCTCCTAGATTGTAAGCTCCCTGGATCAGGGCCCTCCTATCCCTCTTGTATTGAACTGTATTGTTGCTGTATTGTCTCCCAGTTTTATATTGTAAAGTGCTGAGCAAACTGTTGGCGCCATATAAATCCTGTATAATAAGCATAATACTGTAATAATAATTTCCCTATCAGAGTCCCCTATACATTAGGATCCTCAGCAAAATTCTCCTTACATTAGGTTCCCTTCCAGAGTCCCCCATTGCATCAGGAATCCCTCTTACATCATGGTAACCATCAGAGTCCCCCTATATCAAAGTCCCCAGCAAAGTCTCCCTTACATCAGGTTGCTTACCAAAGTCCCCTCTTGCATTAGGGTCCCCATCAGAATCCCCCTTACATCAGGGTCCCCATCAGAATCCCCCTTACATTAGGGTACCCATCAGAATCCCCCTTACATTAGGGTCCCCATCAGAATCCCCCCTTACATTAGGGTCCCCATCAGAATCCCCCTTACATTAGGGTCCCCATCAGAATCCCCCCTTACATTAGGGTCCCCATCAGAATCCCCCTTACATTAGGGTCCCCATCAGAATCCCCCTTACATTAGGGTACCCATCAGAATCTCCTTTACATTAGGGTCCCCATCAGAATCCCTCCTTACATTAGGGTACCCATCAGAATCCCCCTTACATTCAGGGTACCCATCAGAATCCCCCCTTACATTAGGCTAACCATCAGAATCCCCCTTACATTAGGGAACCCCATCAGAATCCCCCTTACATTAGGGTCCCCATCAGAATCTCCTTTACATTAGGGTCCCCATGAGAATCCCCCTTACATTAGGGTCCCCATCAGAATCTCCTTTACATTAGGGTCCCCATCAGAATCCCCCTTACATCAGGGTCACCATCAGAATCCCCCTTACATTCAGGGTCCCCATCAGAATCCCCTTACATTAGGGTCCCCATCAGAATCCCCCTTACATTAAGGTCCCCATCAGAATCCCCCTTACATTAGGCTAACCATCAGAATCCCCCTTACATTAGGGTCCCCATCAGAATCCCCCTTTACATTAGGGTCCCCATCAGAATCCCCCTTACATTAGGGTCCCCATCAGAATCCCCCTTACATTAGGGTCCCCATCAGAATCCCCTTTACATTAGGGTCCCCATCAGAATCCCCCTTACATTAGGGTCCCCATCAGAATCCCCCCTTACATTAGGGTCCCCATCAGAATCCCCCTTTACATTAGGGTCCCCATCAGAATCCCCCCTTACATCCTAACAGAGTAGAAAGAGGATCTTTGCGATTCAGAAGTTCATATCCAAATGACATATTTAAATTTTTTTTTCAATCTTAAAAATGTAAAATAAAAGAGAGGATCGGCACAGGAATACGCCGCGGTAACGGTTCTCACAGACTTCCTTCATCCTCCCTCCAGGGTCTACAACAGACCCCTCAGTGTGTCCTCCGGGCCCTTCTGTGTGCCGTTTCCATGACGTCCCCCTGTTTATCCTCCGTCCCTTTTCCTTTCTCCAGTTATAGATCAACCTTTGCTCCCAGGATGCCCCGCTGCCGGCACAGGAATAAAAGAAGAGAATTGCAAATCCCGGCCTCATTCAGCCTCCACATCCGGCCTTCGCAGCTCTGCCAGAATACACAGCGACAGCGACCGGCCGGGGAATGCTACACACAGACGCTCGCTGGCCTCACCATGGCAGAAAAGTTTACACCGGGCCAGAAAGCTTCTTCTGCTCAGATATAACAAATTGTGCATTGGGGATAAAATATGAAAAGGATAAAAATCCAAAAAAACTTTCTTTGAAAAAAAAAAATTCTTTTAAAAAAGATAAAAAAAAATGTCCAAAAAGAATATCCAAACACAGCCAAAAAAGTTTCATTGACCAATAAAAAAAAACAAAAAAAAAAAACATGTCTTTCAAAAAAGATGAAAAAACAAAACATTCAAAAATAAATTTCTTAGAACAAAGATAAATTAAAGTGTAACTAAAGGCAACATTATTTTCGATTTTGGATAGAGTAAAAAAGGGTTAAAACCCCTGTCTGATTTTTTTTTTTGTTTCCTGCAATTTGTGCCCCATTGGAGAGATTTTCCTTCATTTCCTGTCCCACAGCCAAACAGGAAGTGAGAGGAAATCCTTCAAAGTGAGGAAATCCCTGGTTGTCGCAGTTACAGAGAAATGAACTTAATGGGGCGATGTATTTTCCTTTTTTTTTTTACAAAACTGCTTATGCAGTGGAGTTTTCCTTTAAGTGGGCTACATACAGCTTTTTCCTTTACAGTTATTGGCCATATAAAAGCAATTGCATGTAACTTTATTTACACATTATCACATTATTCTAAGCCGAATGCCTGACCCAAGCTGTAAGGAATGCCCCCCCCCAATGTGACCTCTTACAGCAGAAGGCCTTAGAAGACTGAACAGGGTTGTTGATTGGTCCGCTCTCTCCGGACCCTGCATTCACTATATCCGCTCTCCCCGGACCCTGCATTCACTATATCTGGTCTCCCCGGACCCTGCATTCACTATATCCGCTCTCCTCGGACCCTGCATTCACTATATCTGGTCTCCCAGGACCCTGCATTCACTATATCTGCTCTCCCTGGACCCTGCATTCACTATATCTGGTCTCCCTGGACCCTGCATTCACTATAACCGTCTCCCAGGACCCCGCATTCACTATATCCAGTCTCCCGGACCCCGCATTCACTATATCCAGTCTCCCCGGACCCCGCATTCACTATATCCAGTCTCCCCGGACCCCGCATTCACTATATCCAGTCTCCCCGGACCCCGCATTCACTATATCCAGTCTCCCCGGACCCCGCATTCACTATATCCAGTCTCCCAGGACCCCGCATTCACTATATCCGGTCTCCCCGAGCCCTGCATTCACTATAGCTGCTCTCCCAGGACCCTACATTCACTATAGCTGCTCTTCCAGGACCCTGCATTCACTATATCCGGTCTCCCCAGACCCAGCATTCACTATATCTGGTCCCCCAGGACCCTGTATTCACTATATCTGGTCTCCCTGGACCCTGCATTCACTATATCTGGTCTCTCCATACCCTGCATTCACTATATCTGGTCTCCCTGGTCCCTGCATTCACTATATCCGCTCTCCCCGGACCCTGCATTCACTATATCAGGTCTCCCTGGACCCTGCATTCACTATATCCAGTCTCCTCGGACCCTGCATTCACTATATCTGGTCTTCCCCGGACCCTGCATCCGCTCTCCCCACTATATCCGCTCTCCCCGGATCCTGCATTCACTATATCCGGTCTCCCCGGACCCTGAATTCACTATATCCGGTCTCCCACAGTACACAGAACATGGAAATGCAATTATAGTAGTAAATATAAACTGCTAAATACCTTTTCCATCAGCAGTATATAGCAGTCTTGTGACTTCTTTCAGTGTCCAGCAAAGCACTGGTTACAGCTTGTCGGGGAGAAGTTTTCATTCTTCCCTGACTGTCCTATGTGGCTGCATGATCCCTAATCCTCTGTCTGGACAGTGCTGATTGGCCCTGTGCTGATCACATGCACCCCCCAAAGACAAAAAAAACCCCCAAAACATTCTAGCAATACACACCAAACTGAGCATGTGCAGCTTGCCCACAAGGCGCTGTTCTATCAGCAGATGGATTGGGAACAACATAAGTAGGCAAGGATCAGAGAAGACAGGATCAAATAGCCTTTTTTACACAATTAACCCCTTAGGTTCCACAGTGAGTATAACAAGCATGCTTTACTACACAGACTGATTTTACTGCTGTGGGTTGGTAACACTTTAAGTGATATTCAGATTAACCGCATTGCAAATAAAAGCAAAAATAATCACAAATCAAATGACAGGCCCAACACTGGCAGTATTGTTCATCTGATTTGTTTTATTGCCCTTTTACTGGATATATTTGCATAATAGTCTTTTTATTAGCAGAAGATTGTAGCGGCTTTTATGCTGCCGGCATTGCGGTCTGTTTGTGTTGTTTTCTTTGCATTATACATGAATTCCACAATAGAAGGATCTGCTCTAACCAGTCTGCACAATCTGATACTATCCGGGGCTGATGGGTTCTTGTTTGTTTTAGTCCTCCTGCACACGGGACGTTCTTAAAGCGCCTGTTTTTGGCATTTTTTTCTACAGCCAGTAAACCCCCCAACATGTTATCCTACGTGTCCATCCCCGGCGTGTTATCCTACGTGTCCATCCCCGGCGTGTTATCCTACGTGTCCATCCCCGGCGTGTTATCCTACGTGTCCATCCCCGGCGTGTTATCTACGTGTCCATCCCCGGCGTGTTATCCTACTTGTCCATCCCCGGCGTGTTATCCTACGTGTCCATCCCCGGCGTGTTATCCTACGTGTCCATCCCCGGCGTGTTATCCTACGTGTCCATCCCCGGCGTGTTATCCTACGTGTCCATCCCCGGCGTGTTATTCTACGTGTCCATAATCCCCGGGTGTTATCCTACGTGTCCATCCCCGGCGTGTTATCCTATGTGTCCATCCCCGGCGTGTTATCCTACGTGTCCATCCCCGGCGTGTTATCCTACGTGTCCATCCCCGGCGTGTTATCCTATGTGTCCACTCCAGAACTAGGGTTTCTAGAGGAGTTTTTTAGCTGTAAAAACGCTCTAGCGCTGAAAAATGCAGCAAAGCGCGGTAAAATGCCGCAAACTGATGTTTTTGGACTTTTTTTAAGAAGATGTGCAGCATACATTACTGTATCTCCTCTTAGATGATACAATTTGACTACAGCCAAATACAATATTCTCCTGGTCGCGAGGAAGCAGCATATCTGTGAAACGCGTTGACCCTTGGGGAGGGGGGGGTGCATGTGAACATCATTATTCCATTGTATTGTATTTTTTGTTTTTATGTTTATTTCCAAACAGATGTCTGCAAAGTATAGGAGTTCTTTTTTAGTAAGCTGAACAATAAATACGTATTAATAGTTAAAATCTTTAAAATGATGCGTGGTGTTATAGTTTCCTGGTAGCACATTTAACGACCTTTTTTGGGATTTAGCATACACCAGAGTCTTCCAAACGTTCTCCCATTCAGAGTCCCCCCCCCCTTACATCAGGTTTCCGATCACAGTTCAACTTTACATTCGAAGCGGAGATCATGGGCAGCCCCTGCTAACCCTAGTCCTCAATCAGTGCACTCTGAGTCTACGCCACTGACCCTGGGGCCCTGCGGGCCAAATCAAATCTTGTGGCAGAGGCTGGATGTGGCCCGTCGGCCATATATTAGAGACCCATGGTCACCACCTTCTCTTCTTCCTACTCCTCCTGCCCTTCACCCTGCTCCTTCTTCTCTTTGCCCCGCTCCTCCTCCTCTTCCTCTTTGCCCTGCTCCTCCTTCTTTGTGCTCTACTCCTTCTCTTTGCCTCGCTCTTCCTCATATTTGCCCTGCTCCTCCACTTCTCCCCCTCCTCTTCTCACTTTTACTCCTCCTCCTTTGCGCTCTGCTTCTCCTTCTTTGCCTAACACCTCCTCCTCTTTGCACTGCTCCTCCTTCATTTCACCTTGCTACTCCTTTTTTGTGCTCTGCTCCTCCTTCTCTCTGCCTCACTCCTCCTTCTCCTTTTCACCCTGCTCCTCCTTCTCTTTGCCCTGCTCCTCCTCCTTTGTGCTCCGCTCCCCCTCCTCTTTGCCCTGCTCCTCCTCTTCTTTGCCCTGCTCTCCCTTCTCTTTGCCCTGCTCCTCCATTCTCTTTGCCCTGCTCCTCTTCTCTTTGCCCTGCTCCTCCTTCTCTTGTGCTCTGCTCCCTCCTCCTCTTTGCCCTGCTCCTGCTTCCTCTTTGCCCTGCTCCCTCCTTCTCTTTGCCCCTGCTCCTCCTTCTTTGCCCTGCTCCTCCTTCTTTGTGCTCTGCTCCAACCTGCTCCTCTGCCCTCCTCTTCTCCCCCTCCTCCTCCTCTTCGCTCTGCTCCTGCCCTCTTTGCCCTGCTCCCCCTCTCTTTTCTCCTCTCGCTGCTCCTCTTCTCTCTGTCCTCCCTGCTCTCCCTGCTCCTCCTCCTCTGTGCCCTGCTCCTCCTCCTCTGTGCCCTGCTCCCCCTCTTTGCCCTTCTCCTCTTCCTCTTCTCCCTTCTCCTCCTCCTCCTTTTGCCCTGCTCCTCCAACTCTATGCCCCTGCTCCTCCTGCTCGTTACCGTTTTCCTCCTTCTCTTCGCCATTCTTCTCCAACTCTTTGAGATTTACAAAGCCCTGTCTGGTAGGGCAGAAGACCTGATTTCTCCCTGTTGCAGTTGAGTAACACTTAAAGGTTATTTCCTCATTTTGTTTTATTATCAAAGAAAAACTGTTCAGTAATTGTGAAATATATATATTTATCTGTATATTTCTTGTCGTTACCATCAATCAGCAACAAAATATGTCTCCTACTCCTGCTGTGCACAAGCATACCACAGATGTGCATCATTGGTTGTATGTACTGCCGTATGGCCCTGAAACAAAGCTGTGCATTTTGGGCTTCCCAATCCTGATTGGCTATCACAGCGATCACCTGATTGGCAGCCAGCTCCTGTCCAAGAGCTAATGGTACCAGCGCTGTCACAGTGTTGGGGGGAGTGTGTGACTGAGCATGCTCAGCGGCAGCACACATACGCGTATGGCCGATTGGAAAGGGTTAAAAATTTGAAAAAACAATACATAAGCGCCATTGTGTTTTAATCCAAGATGGCGGTGCGCGCTCAGCCATACGAATGGCGCTGGTTATGGAATACGCATTTTGGCGCTGGAGATGGATTTGGCGTTTTCTCGGGGTTCGGATTTGGGAACTGGTTTTTGCTCAGTCAGAGAAAGAAACGAGGAGGGGAAACGGAGCCTCAGCTGTGCAGGTTACACCTCCCTGCGTGGGCAGCAGAGGATCTACAAACCAGAGCCCCACCCATCTACCCTGCCAGCAGAACACTCGCTGCCACCTTCCAATCGTCCCTCCTGCAGGCCACCGGTGATCGATGGCGACAGGAAATTGCACAATAATCCTGGAGCTCCACAAACAGAGATCAGCCGCCGAGAAAATGAAAGTGAGGATAAAACGTTAATACCTCCGGGGAGAGATTACCATGTTAAGTCTCTTAGATTGTAAGCTCCATGGATCAGGCCCTCCTAACCCTCTTGTACTGAACTGTATTGTCTAACTTCATTTTGTAAAGCGCTGAGCAAACTGTTGGCGCCATATAAATCCTGTATAATAATAATAAAGTCAGCTCAATGCCTGCAAATGACTCTGTGCATTCCATATGCTGGCCTGTGCAAAGTGGCAAGTGCAGCACAGTAGCTAAATGGTTAGCACTGTTGCTCAGAGGAGGGTGGAACCAGGGGACGGTGCTCAGAGGAGGGTGAGGGCTGGAACCAAGGGACGGTGCTCAGAGGAGGGTAGGGGTGGAACCAAGGGACGGTGCTCAGAGGAGGGTGCGGGCTGGAACCAAGGGATGGTGCTCAGAGGAGGGTAGAGGGTGGAACCAAGGGACGGTGCTCAGAGGAGGGTAGAGGGTGGAACCAAGGGACGGTGCTCAGAGAAGAAGGTGCGAGGTGGAACCAAGGGA